ATCTGTCTTTAAATGTGTCCATTGTGTTTACTATCCATTAAATATCCAATTTGAACTCTTAGTGATTATGTTAAAAGCCCTAAACTCTCATTTTCTCAATCAGCCAATCAGCTCCTTACTATGAGCGATGGCAGAGCCAAACTATTTTCTCACTATGTTTTGGTTATGTCACGAGAGGTTTCTATCTACGGAGTTTTTTGTCCGAGCTCTTCTCGCAGGTTTAAAGTGGGCGGCACTCTGCTGGAAAAAGATGAACACATATAATAGGCTACACTTCCATGCACCAATCAGCATTTAGCACTACTTGAAACAAACTGAGAAGACAGTGTTGTTTGTTCATGTTTGCAGCACAGAGTTTTTTTTTCACTGCTAAACTCTTAGTGACGTACATTTATTGAGTAATTTGTTTAGTGCAAGTGTCAGTGACATTTTGAATAAGGTTTTCATCTTTCTGCAAGTTCAGGTTTCACTGCAGTTTTCGAGGAAGTCACCAAGAGGAAGAGAAAAATCTGAACTTTAAGGTTTTGTTAGTGTGTACTGTGTCAGACTAAATCTTTAAATGACTGATTTTCTATGTCTTTCATTTATACTTAAAACAGTGTCCTTTTACAACATCCCCATCCAAACATCTGGCCATAGACTTTGAATGCAGCACACTACATCTCCCCTTTGTGCATGATATGAAACTCATGCTGTGCATGGAAATTGTAATTCCGGCCTTGCCATCCTTCAGTGGCATCTCCGTCTGCATTTGATTTGTCCGACCCCGCTGTGATTCCTTCCCCTCTCCTTCATTTATATGCCAGTGTATGATATCTTGGCAGTAACAGTCATCTATCAATTATTCCCTTTAATCAGACACATAACTTTCAACTTTGCTTCTGCAACAGCCTCCACCTTGTGTTCATAATCAGTCCATGCAGCCCATAATCATCCTTGCACTCTTTGAAGAGCTGTGATGTTGTGTTCACATTGGGAAATAGTAGCTATAACCAGAATTAATCCGGTGCTTTACTGGGAAAGGCATTCATCACACAGCAGAAGTGAATGTGGTGAGCAGAGAGAGCACACTGGCCACGTCAACAGAAAACATGTTGCCTAAATGACTAAAAGCTAATGACACATGATCATCATATGCTACAGTGGCTGATTAAGAAGCTGACCCCCCTTGAAACCTCGTCTAAAATCCATCATGGCATAGATTGTCTCAGGAAATAGTTTCTGCTCTGAGCGCTTACATGCTCCCTTTAGGAATGTGTCATTTTTTACATTCCTGTTGGGGTAGCGCTGGTTACGCAGGCCAGCTGTCCCTTCAATAAGCAACCAAACTTAGTCCAGAGAGACCACCGACTGTGAGTCATCTTCAACCTTTGGAGTTAATAAAAAAAAAAACCTTCCCACAGCTCTCTCAGGTTCTGTGAGGTGTGACAAAGTGCGGCTGATGTCTGGCTCAGATGGCAGACCTCAGTGTGTGTGTGTGTGTGTCTGTGTGTGTGTGTGTATGGCTGGTACCTGGCTTGTCCCATCAACGCTAACATTCTCAGACTTTCCGATGTCTGACTCAGATTTGAAGCCTCTTCTTCTGATGTATGCGTGTGTGTTTGTGTGTGCTTCAATATGGAAAACAGACAAGTTGCCCTACAGCAAGAGCTGTAAGTGCGTTTCCACTCACCTGTTTTATGTGTGTTTACAAATTGTGCATGAAAAACACCAGAAATTCTAAAGAAAGCTTGAAATATCGCGAAAAGGATTTTACAAGTGGCTGAGGTACAAAAGTTGGTGCATCGATAAAAACAAAATGTGACAAAGTTGAATGGAAACAGACATCAGATAAATACATGAAGCATGTGACTGAAAGGTCTGACACAGCTCCACTGAAGACACAAAAAATGGCAGGAAATGAAAACCTCAGATCTGTGTGGAGGAATGAGGTGATGTAACGTTCCTCAAATTAAGAAATTGCATATTTCTGTCACATTTTCCCATGAATGTTTTAATGAAAATTGGATATCGTGTTTAAAGACGACGCTCAATTCATTCCCATTAAAGTTGTTCACGTACAGTATGTCTATCTGCAGCCGGTTCACATTCCCAGGACGTCTGATACTGCAACTTGAATCATGTAACATACTTATTGAACCCAAGTCATGATCTTTTCCTCAACCTAGCCAAACTGTGACCGTTTTAAAGTGTTATGTAAAAAGGTGTCTCATACAGATACCAAAGGGTACTTTGCGCCGGAGGGCTACATTGGGATTGGGATTACACAGGTCAAATGCAAATGCAAATCTCGCAGAAGGTCCTGCGATTTATTTGGAGACAGAGTCAAAGTTTAGGGGAAGGTTAAGGCGGCAAGACAGCAAAGCACGGAAAGGACTGAATGGTTATAATGCTAGCGGGAGCGGATGGGAGTGAACACACATAAAGGGATCGGATGGTAATGGTCAAGAATCCACCTGGAGTGGAGGATTATCCGTGCTCACACTTCTAAATGTGATGCAGAAGAGTGTGACAAAGCAGTGCTGGTATTTGACGACCTGGAACGAGAACGTGTTGCTATCCGGGCGTTGTTGTTTTTGGAAAATTGACTTACGCTAATGGGATTCAATACAGTTCTTATTGACTTCCACACAAACAAATCGGATCAAATTAATCAAATTCTGATACAAAAAACTGTAAGTCATTTCACCGTGCTTGAAAAATGTTTGCTGCTCCTTTTCTAATAATTGTGTATGGGGGAAATGCCTGTCAGTTGCAGTATCGAGTGTGGCTACTGAGGTGGGAAAAGACACCTTCCAGCCTCGCAGCACCTTTCCCGGCCTCTTGCGTTTTCAACATCGTCTTCAGCTCATTTGAGATGTGCATGGCGCTACCTCATCTCTTTGCACCTAATTCTTTTGCAATGGTTTCATGGCTCCTGACTGCAGAATTAGCGCCAGCAACTGTTTATCTTGAACGCACACTTTCTGGAAATTCTCTTTAAATGTGCATTACATTTGCATGGAAACCTGGCTTGTCAGTATTAGATTTCAACAAGAAGCTTTTTTATATGTCTTAAACTGTTATTCCATTTCTGTGCCGTTTTGTAAGTGCAGAAGATGATGAAGATCTATCACAGTGATAATATAATAATCCCCCCATTATCTTTCATAAAGACCAAAGTCCTACAATAGATTAGGATGCTTTATCACATCATAACCAGAATGACTCTGATAGTGATTACAAATGCATTACTGTACAACAAGCACTATATTTTCTCTACTGGTCCATACAGGAGCATAACAGTGATATTTATATTTTATAATATATATGCTTGTTTGTGACCCCTATGCAATCTTCATCTCCATCACTAAGAACACAAATATGTGGCGCAGTGAACTATATTATTATACACACAGCATGGTGCGCCATAATTCTATGTATGTTGTTACACACACACACACACACACATACACGCATATCTGTTGTACTGGGGGGGAGAGAGAGAAGAGAGAGAGTGTGTGTGAGAGAGAGGGAGA